CTCATTTTATTAATTTAAAAATGGCCAACTTTTATTTAAAACAATTAAAACCAGTATCATACGTGAGCACAAATACATACACACGAGCACACACACCCTCCCACCACACACTCGAATGCAATCATGCACACAAATCCCTGTCCTCGTTTATGCCTATGACCTATGAGTGACCTAATAAATAAATATAGACTGTAAGCATTGAAATAAATGATACAATCTGAAGACTATTTAATTTTGTTGTTTAATAAAACTATTAAAGTGTAAATTATATCTGTAACGTGGGAGACGTGACGACAGAGCAGTGGATCAAAATGCAGTCTTTTATTCAAAAGTGTGGTCAAACAGGCAGGGTCAAACAACAGCAAACAGATATAATCCAGGGCAGACAAAAGAGTAATCCACAAAATGAGCAAGGGTCAGGGCAGGCAGCAAACAATCAGAAACAAGGAAACAGTCCAGGGTCCAAACAAGGCAAGGCAACAAGGAACTAGGAAAACTAGGGAAACACGGGAACGCTACAGGCTAACAATACTGAGCAGTGAATGAATGGGTAACCAGGCTATAAATAGGGTGAAACTGATGAGGAAACAAGACAAGGTGAATGCAATCAGATATGATGAGTCCGGCAAAGGATTATGTGAAATGTAGTCTGGGATAGAGTTTTCCATCAGATCCTTAGGCCAACAATTTTCTTGATTTCTTCACAGTAATCCTGATGGTCCCACTAATGTTTGATTGAAAGTGCTTGACAAACTGCAATGAAAAAAAAAGTACAGTAACATCTGTTAATTTACCTCCAAAATAAAACAACAGCTTCTATATCTAATTATTCTGCTGTCAGCCAACTCTTTCTCAGATGTCACATTCTAAACAGAGAGTTGTTGTTTTCCTGCCATGGGTACATTACATTTCCATTGTAATTGCTTGCTTGATATGTGTTTTGTTGTTCATTCTTCAACAGTTCGGCAACAACTTAATGCTTACAATTAGACAAAAAATGTTAATAACAAAATAGTAGCTCACCTTTTCAATACATGTAATGATTTCATCATTGCTCAGCTCAACAAAGGATCTCAATTTAAAAGTTGCATAAGCAAATGCTGTCATAAATGTAAAATGAAAGCTCACATTAGATTCATATTAGCATAGGTGAATAAAACTCTAAATTAAATATCAAAATCTGAATAGTGTTTAATAAAAAATGCATGAACAGATAAAATAAAATAGCTTTTTTACTTTGTGGGACCGAATCTGGAGATGAAGACGTAGACTGACTTGCTGGTCGAGTTGTAGATGTAAGTTGAGATGTCATTTGAGAAGTAGATGTTGGTGTTCGAGTAGATGTTAATGCAACTGATATCGATGTTGATGCACTTGATGTTGAGGTTTGTGCAGCTGTTGTTGATGACAGAGTGGTTGATGTTAGCACAGTTGAACTTAAAGTTGGTGCAGGTGGTCTTGATTGAGTTGTAGATGTTGGTTCAGTGACTGCTGAGCGAGTTGTAGACAGTGGGGCAGGGGTTGTTGTTGATGATCGAGCTTTAGATGTTGCTGTAGCTGATATACATGTCGGTGCAGAATTTTTTGTTAATCGAGCTATAGATGCCGCTGTAGCTATTATACATGTTAGTGCAGGGGTTGTTGTTCTTGTTGATGGAGCTGTAGATGTTTCTGCAGCTGGTGATGTAGAAGAAAATAACATTAGTAGATGAACATTTGTAGAAGAAAAGCATATATAGATGGCAGGCAACAGTGACCTATAGTGTAAAAAAGCAAAAATGGAAGAAAGGATGCCAGTGGAAAAGAAGTTCTCCTTTAATACACGAGACACCTGCTATCATAAAGGCATCCTATTGTTGGGAAAGGACTATGAACTACTATGAGAACTGATATTATAAAAACTGACAATGTGCAAGCAACTACAACAGCTGAATGTGCGGTGACTGAAGATTTTAAGACTCCCTTTGGTAACCAACAATGCAGTATAAAACCACAAACTCAGTTCTATTATTGATTGCTTTCCTTTCTTTGACACTGACATCAAAATAACCGGCATAGCAAGTTTTGTTTGTATTTGCGGGAAGTATTTTTGCTTTGACTTTTCTTGGTTTGATTTCTAATGTAATGCACAATCAATAAGGCATTTATGGAATTGTAGAGCAAGAACTGAGTTATAAGAGTAAAAGGTCACCTACTTTAGCAAAGAGCAGTTTCACTACTGAATCCCTTTTATTAATCTGTTTTGTGAGCTACGCTAGCTTTTTTAAAATTACAAATATTAAAGGAGAAGTCTGTGGCATCAAGCAGAATTGTGAAAATGATGACAAACAGGTTTCCAGAACCCTGTTCCTGTTCTGTTTGGTGAAGTCAGTATACAAATACATTTCTCATGCATGGCTTTGATATTAAGATGGCACAGAAAAAAATTATTTACCATCCAATAAATTACCCCAAGAGATGGTCTATGGCAGGGGTCCTCAACTCTAGACCTCGAGATCCACTTTCCTACAGATCCACTTTATAGCAGAGATTGTCTTACTATTGGGAGATACGAGGGTCTGTATTACTTACTATTGGAGAAAGCGTAACTGTCAACTTGGATCACGTGTGCCTTAATAACCAATCACATTACAGCCTTGACGTCACTGAATTTCAGTCAGAATGGACACTCACGGTGCGTTCCAAACGGGATATATCACCCTCCGAAGGGCACTTCGGAGTGAAAACTATCATGGCCAGACCGAAGTGCTCAAAACTGGCCAGTTCAAAGGGCCCTTCGGAATGAAGGATTTCGAAGGGTACAACTGATGGACACTTCGGGCCCCCATGATCCTTTGCGCAGATTCTTTGCATGATGACGGTGCCTCTGTGTGGGCACGTGATGATGGGCACTTCAAGAAACAGTTGTTTGGCCCCCTACACCCTTCAACCCTTCGAAGCTCTCACGCCGGAGGGTAAACCCTTTGAAGGGATTAGGGCATAGGGATGAGCCCTTCCGAATGGAACGCAGGGTCAATCGCAGTTTGCAGATACCGAAGGAAGTGCCGTAAACTGGATCCCACCTGTCGCAAAAAATCAGTGACTTCGCTTATAAAACAGCATTTTTTTCATTGTAAACTTTAAAAATAGTTAAATCCAAAAGTATTGTTTAGTGTAAAACATAGAGATTAGCTGATAGGCTGTTGATTCATTAAATAAGCTGTTTCCTCTAAAAAGCTGTTTATTCAGCGAAGGGAAGCCTTTCCTCCATTGACATCCATTAAAAAAAAACGGCCTCTGGTCTCCTTCCCACGTACTGCCAGACCGGAAGCTTTTTTGTCTAAAACGTTGGCAGATCGCTGTACTGTTCAGACTACATGACTTGATTGTCTGTCTTGAAGTCGTTGTGGTGTTCACACTACACTACGTAAATGATCCGCAAAAGGAGGTCACACACTGCACGAGCGGACAACAACTCTCACCCAACAAATCTATCCCATCCCCAAACCATGTTTTGTTATGGGAATGACACGAAACAACAAGTGAAACAGAAGTTGTTTTAATTTGAAAATGAACATCGGGAAGAAATTAACACTGCAAGCTGTTTGCGTGATGAAAAGATTAGCTCCATTTCTTGTGTCCAAACTTTTCTTAAAGCCATGTTGCTGCTGCTGTTTTTCTTTACGGTGACCTCAAGCCATGCTTGCTCTCTCATTGGCTGTAGCTCGTCGCGACACCTGACACCACGTGATGTCGAGTCGGCCGACCGGTCCAGCGTTTGGTGTCGGTGAGGCGTCAGCGAGCCTCTTTGATGCGTTGTTGAGTAGTTCACACATAAAGATTGCCGAGCGCTGGTCACCTGCTGATTTTCCCCCGATCACAGCCTGACCTGTTCGTTAAATCCTGGGCCCGTATTTATCAAGCTTCTCAAAGTGCCATTTTAGTCTTAAGTGCTGATAATTCATAAAATGTACTCCTACTTTCAAACTTAAAAAAAAAGAAGCAAGTTATCAAATTTCTTAAAACTAAGAATCACTCTTACTCTCCCAGTTATTGGTTGTCCAAGAAGGAAATAAAAGAGTAGGGTCTTTTATAAACCTTCACTTTGAAATTACTGGTGTAATCTTTCCTGTTTTACTCTCTCTCACACACACACACACACACACACACTCACGTTATATATGTATATATATTCTTTCTTTTTATTTACCATGCTGTCATACTTAACGTATTTTATAGGAAATGAACAGCGAGCGACACAATAAGGTAAATGTTTGTGTTATCACTTTGCTTATAGAAGGTTGTGACAGACCCAAATCATCACTGCTGCATAGTTGCATTTTTCCAGTTGCCAAATATATTCATGTAGTTAATGCAGTGATTACTTCCATTTCTGGTGCTATGGCATTTCTGCGCGGTGTCGGAGATGTTAACGTGTCTCTAATAAGATCGGTCACAAACATTATCCCTGCACCATCTAATAGCGTCTTATTAACTCACTGTCATGCATTGTGTGCAACACATTTCTTCTCCCTCTTCATGTTTCATCCATTTTCTCCACTGCTACAGAAACTCTTAAGCCTCTTAAAAGTCCTCGTCCGTACTCCTAACAATTTTGGACCTTAAGACCTATTTAAGGGTTACGATTCTTTCTGAATTACTTTTTTTTTTACTAGGATATTTTCTTTAATTTAAAGAGGAAACACCCACATTTCTAAGAATATTCTTAGAATTTTGTTACTAGGAGCAACTCTTAGCAGTAAGATTTTTCATGAATGCAGGCCCTAGTGTGAACTAGGCATAAAGGTTGCAGGCTTGCTTTCTAGTGGCTTTGTTTGTTGTAATCCTGAAGACCTTGATTAGCCGTGTGTTCAGGTGTGTTTGATTAGGGTTGGAGCGAAACTCTGCAGGAAAGTGGATCTCGAGGTCCAGAGTTGAGGAAAATGGAAAATTTAAGATCCAGAAAATATTTAAATTAGTCTCTGACAGATCACCGCTGAATATGTGGCAACTGCATTAAACCTTGAATACTCTTATTTTTGTTTTGTTGATATATTCATGATTTAATTACAAAATAAATCAAATTCAGTTTTTTTTAAAGATATTCTCACAATATGCAGTATTAATTGTGATGCTTGAGCAGCACCACTAAGTGTACTGTAAATCTCTTTGGATAAATCACTTCTCACAAATGCCTTATTCTTAAGGGATTTATATAGTTTAAATTAGTCACACATTGGCTACTTTATAATTATGGGTAACTGAATCTGTTATTGCTCATATAATTCAATTATAACATCATATAATTTATTGAATAAAAACCACAAGCATTTGCAATTATAATTCACTGATCATTTAAATAAGTGCAAAACTTGCAGTTTGGCTATATATATATATATATATATATATAATTATTAGTTTTTTTAAACATATATAAGGTATAATTCAGTAAATACAGTACATTAAATGCATATCTATTCAATACATACTTTTTTTGCATTAAATACTTCCATATACATCACATACTTACATACAAATATATTTGCTTTAAATAGACGTCTTACCTGTTGGTATTGATCTACCAATCAGTAAAGCCAATCCAATAAATATAATAAATCGAAACATCTTTCAAGTTTTTTGCTACCAACCTAATGCCAGGAAAATGACTTCTGAGAAGCAACCTAACATTTGTAATGCAAGCTTAATATACTGTCCTTAACCTCCTCCCACCGATGTAACTGTTGTAATTGTCCTGATACAACTGAACACTTTCTTTCTGACTGCATTGACACTAACATTACCACTCCTTCATGGCAAATAACAAAAAAGTGCCCTCGTAACCCAAACAGAGATGCCCAGCATATTACTATTTTAAATGACTATTTTCTATTTGAATATATGTTAAAATGTAATTTATTGCTGTAATTTATTTGCAAAACATAATTACTCCAATCTTCAGTGTAACATATTTATATGATGTATCATATTTATGCATAAACCATGATATACCACACACCATATATATATATATATATATATATATATATATATATATATATATATATATATATATATATAAAAAAATAACCACTGTTAATAAATATAACATTGTTGTAGAGTGTTATTAACCTGTTCAGGAGTGGAGAAACCTGTGTAACTCCTGTTTATTTCCTGGTTTGTGTGAATATTAAAAATGTATGTGTGCTTTGTGTTTCTGTTGATAGAATGAATCTGAGTTTCTGGGTCACGGGTGGATCCTGCATTCCAAACTATGTCAATAGTGCATGCTGTTCTACAGAGACAAAGCTTATTCATTGTTACAGATTCCCAGCAAGTAGCTTTGTTCTTAGAAGATGGAATTTGGCGTATTATAAACTAAGTTGATCATAATTGCCGTTATATATATAGATATACACACAGTTGCAATCAACATTATTCAGCCCCCTTGACCTGCAAGACATTTTGTTGCAGAGAAGAAAATAAAATCAGTTCAACAAAGGCATCAGTGAAATATTAGAGAAAGTTTCTTAATACACATTTGAGTGATTCTGAGAATGTAACATTGATGAACAATGATACAAATCAAACTGGCTCTAAACATTCATGTTCAAAATTATTCAACCCCCAAAAGTCAAATTTTGTGCAGAATCTTTTATTCTTTAAAACCACTAATAAACGCTGCCTATAAGTGCTCAGAAGCGTCTGTAGCCTCTCTACTGCAGTCTTGGCTCATTCATCGCCTGAAAAATCTTTCAGGTCACTGATAATCTTTGGTTTGCACATTGCCACTGCTTTCTTCAAATTCAGCCATATATTTTCACTGAGAGTTAAATCTGGAGACTGAACAAGCCACTCAAGTACATCCTATGACTGATCCCTGAACCAAGCAGAAGTAGACTTGGATGTATACTTTAGGATAGCTGTCCTGCAGGAAAGTCCATTGATCATCAGCTTCCTTCTTTGCACCAAAGGCATCACAGTTCTTGCCAAAATGGCCTGATACTTCAAAGAGTCCAATGTCCTTCATACAGTCATGATTTCAACTTCCTGCAACAGTAAAACACCCCCTAACAGGACAGGTCCACCTCAATGTTTGACCATGGAGATGGTGTTCTCCTGTTTATAAGCTTTGCCTTTTTTGCACCAGACATGCAGCTGAACCATGGCTCCAAAAGTTGTAGTTTGGTCACATCGCTCCATAAAACATTCTTCCAGAACTAATTCTGTTTTTATTTAATAGAGTTTCTAATGGCTTAATTGTGTTTAAGACAATTTTGTTCCCCACCATACAAAAAAAGGGTCTTAAAAACAGCAATGTTGAATAATTATGACACAGCTGTGTTATTTAAAAAATCCTATAACTCAAAAATATGACATTATATATTGACATTATCACTTTTAATATGCCAGTAAACTGTTAATGCAATTTTTATAAAATCCTGGAACTTCAGAAAAGCTTGCATTTGTAAAGTACTGCAGTCTCTGAGGGGTTAAACAATTTTGATTGCAACTCACTATATTGATTGCAACACTATATTTTCACCAGCTAAAAATGGTTTTAAGTCAGTTATTTATATCTTTTGCTGTAGTGTGTCAGTAGGAAATATCAGTTCACATTTCCAAACATCAAGCATCTTGAAGACGTTGCCACAGTTCTTCTGGGTTTAGTCTGTCTGAGTTTGTTCTGTTTCTTCATGTAATCGCATGCAGACAGACTGGATGATGCTGAGATCAGGGCCCGTATGTATAAAACTTCTCAGAAATGCTCTTAAGAATAGTCTTAAGCTTTGACTTAAGTGTAAAAAAATTCTTAGTAAAAAGTAGGACTTGTCTAAGAGTAGGAGACCTTTATAAAGAAGCTAAAAGCAACTTTCAGTAAAGTTTAAGACTGATTCTTAAGTGTTGACTGAGGTGACACTTAAGTGTTGTGAACTAAAGACTACAATGATGTCAACTCAAAATGGCTGCCCTCGACCTCTGAAACAGCCAATAGTGAGCCTGCTCATGTAAAGTCACAGCAGCACAACACCAATATTTTAATGTAACGACAATACAATCATTTAATTAAGACACTGAAATATTTTAATATTTAAATGTATTTTAAAAAAATGCTTTGCATTGTGCAAAATTATCACAAATTATTACTGATGCTTTAAAATTGTACTCTATTGGTATGTCTCCTCGTTTACAGTTGGATCAATGATGTGAACATGAGTTCCATCAACGGCTCCAACAACTCCAGGAAAGCCCACAATCCTCATAAAAGTGGCTTGTTTTTGCAGCATGGTTTGACGGTCAGTTGGAAGGTCAATGAACTGCCATATAGTAGTGGCCAAAATTGATGTCCGGCCTAGGAAATTTGACATCTTCACCCTTATTTTTAAAAAATGTGTTAAATATTGTGTAAGCATGTTGCATAGTTGCTCATAGTCAATTGTTTTATTTGTGATAATAATGCAATGAAACATACCAAATTGTGCGGTCATACTTTTTGGCCATGCTGTCATACAAAGAAATTATGAACACATGCAAAAACAAGAAGACCAGCGAAATATCAATAACTGATGATGTTGTAGTAAATATCAATGTTGCCAATTTAGTGATTTTGTCACTGGATTTAGTGACTTCCTCACCCCTTTTGAGAATTTTTTCAAAAGCCTAGCAACAAAATCAATTTCTTGGACAAACCTTATCTAGATTCCAAGACTCTCCCACTGATCTATATGTATTGTGACGAGCATCCCGAGCTCACATCAGCGTTGCCCTGGAAATGGACGAGGAACACCTGCACACGCTCATCACGGGCTGATTGGTCACAGCTGAGAGTCATCAACCCACGGCCAGATAAGCCGCGTGAGGCCCGAGGAAGGGGAGAAGAGATGCTCTCCCAGAAGCTGAAGTCTAACGGGTTGTCTCCTTTGCATTACAGAAACCAGCCCGTGACCAAGCAGCCCACGCACGAGCGCCGCACGGACTCACCGACACTGGAACACGCTCACGGAGAAGCACCGACTCACTCACGGAGAAGCCTCGACTCACCTCAGGACCCAGCGCACTCACTTAAGCACTTTCTCTGTGAATAAATCCACCCTCCGGGGTATTTATTTGAGCTCTCCTTGTCGCGTGTTCCTTCCACCCCGTTACACTGGTGGAGAATGCGTGCAAAAGTGGTGGAGGATACACCGACAAGTGATCTCGGTCCATTTATTCTCTCTCTTGTGTTTCCCCTCCCAGGCGGCTACTCCTCCCCCACAGCATGGATGAAATTCTCCAACGGCTGGCGGAGGTCAGCATCCGCCAGCAGCAAATAGTGGAGCATCTCGCCACTCGACAGGGGGAAACTGAACAGGAGGTTGCCGCCCTCCGTGCCGCCGCCCGTCAGCGCGTACCGGTACCAGATCCCCGAGTACAGGCGGCCCAGCTGTTGCCCAAAATGACCGCCCATGATGATGTGGAAGTCTACACCTCCACTCCCGCACGGACATGGCTGGCCGGGTGCATAGTACATCGGGCCCTGCCGGCGGGAGCCCCGGAAGTCAGGGTCGAGGTAAACGGCCGGCTGTGTCGGGCGCTGCTGGACTCGGGCAACTCGGTCAGCCTTATCCAAGCTCACCTCCTTCCACCCCGCAACGAAACGAGGTCGGTCTTACCCATAACGTGTGTGCACGGGGACACGCGACAGGTGCCGGCCCGCCGCGTGACGATCTCCGCCGCCCCGGGGGCCTGGCAACCAGGACAATGCTTAGGGGGGAGGGAGTGTGACGAGCACCCGAGCTCACATCAGCGTTGCCCTGGAAAGGGATGAGGAACACCTGCACACGCTCATCACGGGCTGATTGGTCACAGCTGAGAGTCATCAGCCCACGGCCAGATAAGCCGCGTGAGGCCCGAGGAAGGGGAGAAGAGATGCTCTCCCAGAAGCTGAAGTCTAAGGGGTTGTGTCCTTTGCATTACAGAAACCAGCCCGTGACCAAGCAGCCCACGCACGAGCGCCGCACGGACTCACCGACACTGGAACACGCTCACGGAGAAGCACCGACTCACGCACGGAGAAGCCTCGACTCACCTCAGGACCCAGCGCACTCACTTGAGCACTTTCTCTGTGAATAAATCCACCCTCCGGGGTATTTATTTGAGCTCTCCTTGTGTCTCCTCGCGTGTTCCTTCCACCCCGTTACAGTATATAGATCAGTGAACTTGCCATTATGACGTAATCTAGCAACATTTAGCAACTGTTTTAGCTACTTTCAGTTGAAAGCAGTTGGCAACAGTGGTCAGTGTTTTTTTCCCTCGTATTTGAATGGTTTAAGTGAAATATGGGGTCATTAAAAAAAAACTCCACACATCACTTTTGGCCACTGTTGTGTTTGGTGGGGTTAGTGCCACAATATTTAAAACTCTGCTTTCTGTGTCATTACCGGTGCATTGCTGCATTTTTCCAATTAGCAACTGTTTTAGCTACTTTCAGTTGAAAGCAGTTGGCAACAGTCAGAGTTTTTCCCCCTCGTATTTGAATGGTTTAAGTAAAATGTGGGGTCATTAAAAAAAACCCTCCACACATGACTTTTGGCCACTGTTGTGTTTGGTGGGGTTAGTGCCACAATATTTAAAACTCTGCTTTCTGTGTCATTACCGGTGCATTGCTGCATTTTTCCAATTTTCCAGCCAAAAAATTTTACTACTTTAATTTCTGCAGTTAGAGCATTGATTTGTAGAGTGGAAAAAGTTATAAAATTTCTTACTTGGTCAGTTACAAAAATAATTGACTATCTTGGCGATCAAGTTTGAATCATTTTATCAACATTTAACTCCAATATGTCATATCTTCGTTGGAAAGTGTGTATCCTCCTTTTGCTGCCATCTTGTTACTCTTAAAACTAGGTTAGGAGACCTCTCCAGCTCTCTTAAATCATTTAGGAGCTGAGACCTAGTCTTTACACTTAGGAACCTTTATGAATCACTCTTATTCTTAAGTTTAGGAATAGGAGTAAAATTACGTCATTCTAAGAATTTTGACACACTTAAGACTTTTACTCTGAGCGGCTTTTTACACACGGCCCCAGATCTCTATGTGCAGCACTGGCTGCTGTCAGACTCCTTGTGCAAACAAAAATCTCACTGCATTATTACAATTAATGGCAAAATGAATGTTTGGAAATGTGAACTGATATTTCCTACTGACACACTACAGCAAAAGATATAAATAACTGACCTTTTTTTTTAGCTGGTGAAAATACTAGTGTTTACCACTGTGTATATACATACAGTAAACACACACACACACACACACACACATATATAATATATGTATGTGTGTGTACCTACTGAACCATATTTTGGGGACAAATTTGTATCCAAAAGTGAGCAAAACCTGACAAAAATCGCCAAAAACCTCCATTTGGGGATGTCCTCATTTGTAAAACTGGTATAAAAATAAAGTAAACAAAGTTTTTTTTAAATTGTAAAAATGCAGAAAGGTTTCTGTGAGGGGGTAGGGGTGGGTTTAGATTAAAAAGTGTAACTATCTATATATAAAATCAATGTCTATGTAATGTCATTTAGATAGCTCAGTAAAGTGTGTGTGTGTGCGTGCAAGCGTGAACTATGTTGTTGATGTATTTGTGCTTTTGTAGGAGGACTTTTATTGGCCACTGTTGTGTTTGGTGGGGTTAGTGCCACAATATTTAAAACTCTGCTTTCTGTGTCATTACCGGTGCATTGCTGCATTTTTCCAATTTTCCAGCCAAAAAATTTTACTACTTTAATTTCTGCAGTTAGAGCATTGATTTGTAGAGTGGAAAAAGTTATTAAATTTCTTACTTGGTCAGTTACAAAAATAATTGACTATCTTGGCGATCAAGTTTGAATCATTTTATAAACATTTAACTCCAATATGTCATATCTTCGTTGGAAAGTGTGTATCCTCCTTTTGCTGCCATCTTGTTACTCTTAAAACTAGGTTAGGAGACCTCTCCAGCTCTCTTAAATCATTTAGGAGCTGAGACCTAGTCTTTACACTTAGGAACCTTTATGAATCACTCTTATTCTTAAGTTTAGGAATAGGAGTAAAATTACGTCATTCTAAGAATTTTGACACACTTAAGACTTTTACTCTGAGCGGCTTTTTACACACGGCCCCAGATCTCTATGTGCAGCACTGGCTGCTGTCAGACTCCTTGTGCAAACAAAAATCTCACTGCATTATTACAATTAATGGCAAAATGAATGTTTGGAAATGTGAACTGATATTTCCTACTGACACACTACAGCAAAAGATATAAATAACTGACCTTTTTTTTTAGCTGGTGAAAATACTAGTGTTTACCACTGTGTATATACATACAGTAAACACACACACACACACACACACACATATATAATATATGTATGTGTGTGTACCTACTGAACCATATTTTGGGGACAAATTTGTATCCAAAAGTGAGCAAAACCTGACAAAAATCGCCAAAAACCTCCATTTGGGGATGTCCTCATTTGTAAAACTGGTATAAAAATAAAGTAAACAAAGTTTTTTTTAAATTGTAAAAATGCAGAAAGGTTTCTGTGAGGGGGTAGGGGTGGGTTTAGATTAAAAAGTGTAACTATCTATATATAAAATCAATGTCTATGTAATGTCATTTAGATAGCTCAGTAAAGTGTGCGTGTGTGTGTGTGTGCAAGCGTGAACTATGTTGTTGATGTATTTGTGCTTTTGTAGGAGGACTTTTATTTTGAAAACCACCGGACCTGATGTTGTTTTTTAGTTGAACGACTAAACGTGTCACGTTAACTACCGCATCTCGTGCTTTTCTTGTTTGGCGAATGCTTCCGTTCAAGCTAAAACCAACAGCATTTTAAATAGCTGCGTTAATGCATTGTCGACGAATTGAACAAGTATATATTTTTAAAGATGCCCCAAAATGGTTAAAGTCGAGTCGTTCTTCCGGTTCGCTTCCGGTTTCCACGTCTCGCGTTTGGCACGAGCACGTTTACAGCTGCGCTTATTTCTGCTCAAACCCGCACACTTTCATAACTTCTCGAGTCTCAGCAAATATCCGCAAGCTCAGCTGGTCACTTAGTCGATCAGGTAGTACAAGTCTTCTTTTCGTTCCAGTCGCTGCTAATACAGTACTATACCTGCGCGCGCTGAGTGTCGCTATGTGGTGATGGAGAGAGACTTGCTCAGACAGTCTGTGTCGTATCATGGGGGAAACCTGCTGGCGCTGTTAACATGCGAGCAAAGGGAGAACCCAGACTTCAAATATGTGGCTGCTGCTGATCTCTCCAAAACTCTCAATCAAAGGTAAGCGACCATTTGATAATAGCTGCACGTGATTATTTGTATCCCTTATATCATATTTGTGTTGCATTAATTACTCACCTGCATGTGGCTACAGAGGCTTTCTTCTGTGGAGATATTTAACAGAATGTTCGCGCTGTTCTTTTCCGTACCGTTTCTTCTCAGAAGTGCTTAGAGTTCTTGCAATTATCAGTTTATATATTTTTTTTTATCCCGGAGCGGTAACAGTTCTTCCATAGACCATTTTGTCACGTGAGAATATTATTCGTGTAACATTTTGATAATGTATTGCCAATAAATGAGCGTCATGTCATTGTTTTGAAACAGGGATACAGAAGAGGCGAGTCCTGTCCTGGAGCAGTTCATAGCAAGGAAAGCTGATCTTCTGTTTGCAGCGTCGTGGAAGACCTCTACACCAGCAGATGAACGGCCGGACGAACCTGGAGGTGAACCTCATTCAGTTCTAGCAACAGCATCATGCAATCACGTCGCTCCAAGAGCACCCCGTCTCATGAAAGTGAATGACATGCGTGCGATTAAACGATGAACTCTCCCTCTGATAATGCATGTATGTTGTTTCAGATGCACACGCCGTCATGCCTCCGCTGGAGCAGTTCATGGAGGTGTGTGTTGAGGAGAGACGGGAGCTCTTCTACAGAGACGTGGAGCGTGGAGACCTGGTTATTGGAAGGATCAATTCGGTGCGAGACTTCGGCTTGTTCGTAACTCTTCTCTGCACTGCTGGAGGACTGGAACGAGATATTGAGGATCTTGAGATAAAGGTTGGGTTTAAGTTATTTATTTTTCTCTTAAGTGTGCATTTCTACACCACTAATGGCACCAACAACAGAATTGTGTGTGTGTGTGTATATATATATATATATATA